TGGAAACGAGGAAACGAGATAGACCCATAGTTCCTTTAGAGAATATGCATAGAATCAATACAAAAATGTGTATAAGTCGTCCATTTTTTAACCGATTTTTTTGATTTTTCTCATTTTCGAAAGCTTATTTAATTGTCTTCCCCGTAATATAATAAAACTTATACGGCTTGATGTCATAATTTCTTCGTACAATCCGAAGAAAAATAAATTTTGTCATTTTATGCGTATTTTTTCACATTTCAACCACTGTAACTCAGCCAAGGCTCAACCGATTTACCAAGTGTATACCTTGTTTGAAAAAAAAAAATTCTACTCTTTCAACGAAAAAAAGAATAATATAAATCCGTTAGAAAGAAAATATGTTATACGCATTTCAAGTTGAAAATCTATGAAACCACGTTTTTCTTTACATTTACCGTTATAAAACTAATTTTCGAAGTGACCCAGAAAAACCAAAGGTATATTCGTAGTCCAGGGACTCCAACTAAACGGAATTGGTACATTAGAATCCCTGAAAAAAATTTTTGTTTTGTTTTGTATCACAGTGTTATTGGAAATAAGTACTAAATAGAAATATACTAAATATTTGTACTAAAAGTGGGAAAAGTTAGTACGCAAACATAATAGTATAGTAATGAAGTTTTTTATTAAAAGGGTTCCAAAATGCCTGGAAACTACAAAATTTGTATTGAGCGATTAGAAGTGGTAGAGTTTGGAATTCGTGTATGTGGCTTCTAAAATACAAATAAAATTATTCCCAGCGCCATCAACAAGTTTATAAGGATAGAAATTAGCATTGCCTAATACACCAAGAACTTGGTAAATTGTACTTAAAGGTACCAACAAGTACTAAATATTGGGTACGGTAGAACGGATAAAGATATGAACCTGTTATTAAATACTTATCTGGAACTATAACGACAAACATTTATACATAACTGCTTTCCAGCAATAATTTTTAAAAGTACAACACATTGTATACGGCGGTACGGGTGGAGATAGAATTTGGTACAAGTCTTTTTGTATTACAAACAATGTTTTCGCAGTTTAGTACTTAGGGTTCTAAATATTGTGTACGACAGAACGGGTAGAGATAAAGTGCTGACATTTTGTTTGTATAATCCAAAATCTGATCTAAAAACGTTGACAGTTACATGAAATATAGTTTCCAATCCATAGACTTATAGTACTGCGAATGATTTTAGAATTTTACAAATAAGTGAAACAAGGCACTGAACAACGCAAGTACTAAATTGTTGACACTGTACAAGTTCCGATACAGGCGTATGGACTTGTAGGGGTTCTAAATCTACAGAGTAGCTTTAGAGCCGAAAGTATTTGTTGCACAAAGACGAACAACAATAAATATGAATATTAGACAACACAACAAGTATACAGGCGATACTTACGTGTTGCTAATTAGGAACTGGTGGTGGTTTGTAAAAATAAAACACTTATTTAAATATTTAGACGCTGGCGGTCTGATTTATGTTTTCTTTATTTAAACAACAATTCTTTATTGTGATTGCGGCAAAAATATTTTAGCTTTCTTTCTTGCTTCTTCTTCTTAGCTATTGGTATTCTCTGATGACTTGAATTGATAGTTGAGGTATCGATTATTGGTTTACCGCTGGTATTATCGATGGAACCTCAACAGACACTTTTAAACGCAAATATTTCTAAGATTTCTACCATAACAGTACTGACATTTATTTCTAATGATGTTTCCAACCCCACTTACGCGAATATTATGGTGTGATGAGAAATGTTGAACATTAATACCGTTGAATTTGAGAAATATATGAAAATTAGTAAAGTTTTCTCTATATAGTAAAATTCGAGCACCAACGCTAATTAAGCCTATGTTCGAAGACTAAGATCTAAGATTTTTTTTTTAAATTAAGGCATAGGAGCTATCCAAAAGTGTGGAGATTATTAAACAAGTTTAAAATGTGATATGGATCATTGTAAGTACATACTTAGAAATGCATAAATCTGTATAAAGTTATATTGTGTAGCTAAATCAATGTTTATTTTAACTATAAAGACTGGAACTTAACTATAAAGACTGGAAAGACCCGCTAACGACGTAGCGGGCATATGCTAGTTATATATATTAAATCAACATATTTATGTATAAATTGTTATTGTCATAGTTCCAGATAATTATTTAATAACAGGTTTCTATATTCATCCACTAGCAAAGTACCCGCTACTTCGTATGCGGAAAGGGAATAAAAAAATATACTACACTTCAACAGTAATCTAAGTTCCAAATCTCAAGATTCAACCAAATCCAAATTGTTTCAAATTTAGTAATTCTCATACTCATAGGTAAGAATTTCTAAAACTACATTAATCCTACACTCTAAAAGTAATCTTACGTACACCAATGTCCAAATTGTTCCAAATTTAGTGATTTTCGTACTCATAAGTACAAATTTCCAAATGTACCTCAATCCTTCTTTCAAATAGTCCAAATTTAAGAATTTCAGCTCTGTATGAAACCATTCCGCACTTTTCGTACCCATATACCAAAACAATCTCAATATTCCAAACCTGCTTTCAATCGTAAGTCCAAATTTAAGAATTTCAGCTCTATCTGTTCACTAAACTGTACCATATTTGGTACCATTCTGTACTTTTTCTACACTCCCAGAATATATAATAAAATATACCAAATTTTTCGGTTGTCGTACCCAAAGTACAAATTTCCAAAAATACCTCACTCCAACAACAACCTTAGGTCCACATTTAAAGATTCCAGGATAACAGCACATAGATCCAAATTGTACCATATTTAGTACTTTTCCTACTCATGACTACCTCATCCTACACTCCAACCTTATTTTTAAGTCCAAATATTAGGATTCCCGCCCACACAAAACGAATTGTACCATATTTAGTACCAATTAGGTCTTCTCGTATCCATAACTACGAAATTCCAATACTTCCTTAATCTTGAAATTTTAATTCCAAATTTACGTTTACTATCTCTATCCGTTAACTCGAATCGAAATTGTACCAAAATTTTTTTTCCATTTAGTACACATAATGACGAATTTTAAAAAATTACCGACATATCTCAATTCTGTACTATATAGTACTATTTAGTACACATAGGTAATATCTCAATTCTATATTCAAACGTCAACCATTAGTCCAAATTATGGGTTTCCAGCTCTTTCCGTTCACCCAAATCCATTTAGTACTTTTCGTACACATAAATACGAGTTTCCAAAGATGTCTCTATAGCTCAATCTTCAACAGAAATCTTAATTCCAAATTTCAGTTTTCAGTTCTATCCTTTCAAGCAACATCCAAATTGTACTAAATTTAGTACCGTATATACCTTTCGAACCAATAATCTACCTCAGTCCTACACTCCAACAGTCATTTTAATTCCCAAATTGAAGACTTCAATTTAGTACCATTTAGTACTTTTCGTACAAATAAGTACGATTTTTTAAAGCTAATTCCGATTATCAAGATTCCATCTCTACACACTCAACTGAAGGTAAATAGTACGGAAATTAGTACCATTTTACACTTTTTATACACATAAGTACGAATGTCTTAAACCATTTCCGTACATCAACACCATTTCCCAACCTGTATTCCATTTAAAATGTCAAGATTCCAGCTATATATGTTCAATATATATACAATAGGAACTAAATTCAGAAAAGTTTAGTACCTTTAGTACACTTATAGGTCGAATTTCCAAAAACCCTTTTGCACATCTTTCTAACTTTCCATCAGTGACCAACATTCCAAATTTCAGAATTCTAGCTCTTCCCGTTGGCTAATAAAAAGGGTACCATATTTAGTACATTTTAGTACTTTTCGTACCCTTGTACTTCCAACAAAACTTCCTGCATACCCCGATCCTACACCCCCATAATGATTCCAAATTCAAATTTAAATGTACCAAATTTAGTACAAAGTAGTACGAATTTCCAATACTTCTTACTAAACCCACACCCCCACAGTTATCCTAAATCCAATTTTCAGAATTCCAACTCTATCGGTTCATCCACAATTCAAATTGTACCAAATTCAGTACACTGTAGTACGAATTTCCTAAACTTCCTACTTAACCCAAACTTACACTCCACAGTGATCCTAATTCCATGTTTCAGAATTCCAACGCTAAAAAACTTACAATCCAAATTGTACCAAATTTAGTACACAGTAGTACGAATTTCCAAAATCTCCAACTTACCCTAACCCTACAACCCCACAGTGACCCTAAATCCAAGTTTCAGGATTACAACTCCATCGGTTCACTCACAATTCAAATTGTACCAAATTTAGTACACAGTAGTACGAATTTCCAAAACCTCCAACTTACCCTAACCCTACAACCCCACAGTGACCCTAAATCCAAGTTTCAGGATTACAACTCTATCGGTTCACTCACAATTCAATTTGTACCAAATTTAGTACACTGTAGTACGAATTTCCAAAACTTCCTACATACCCCAATCCTACACCCTCACAGTGATCCTAAATCCAAGTTTCAGGATTCCAACTCTATCGGTTCACCCTCAATTCAAATTGTACCAAATTTAGTACACAGTAGTATGAATTTCCAAAACTTCCTACAGACCCCAATCCTACACCACCATAGTGATCCTAACTCAAAGTTTCAGGATTCCAGCTCTATCGGTTCACCCACAATTCAAATTGTACCAAATTTAGTACATAGTAGTACCAATTTCTAAAACTTCCTAAATAATCCTACACTCCCATAGTGATCCTAAATCCAAGTTTCAGGATTCAACTCTATCGGTTCACCTACAGTTCAAATTGTACGATATTTAGTACACAGTAGTACGAATTTCGAAAACTTCTTACTTACCCCAAACAGAGATGCTAAATCCAAGTTTCAGGATTACAACTCTTTCGGTTCACTCACAATTCAAATTGTACCAAATTTAGTACACAGTAGTACGAATTTCCAAAACGTCCCACTTAACTCAAACTTTCACCCCTAGAGTGATCCTAAATCCAAGATTTAGGATTCCAACTCTATCGGTTCACCCACAATTCAAATTGTACCAAATTTAGTACAAATTAGTAAAAAATTTTAAAACTTCCTACATATCTCGATCTTACACCCCAACAGTGATCCTGACTCCAAATTTCATGATTCTAGCTCTATTGGTTCGCATAAAATTCAAATTGTACCAAATTTAGTACCATTTAGTACCCATGAATATAAATTACTGAAACTGGGTAAAAAAATTCCAAAACTACGTACATTTCCAATCCTACACTCCGACGGTAATGTTAATTTCAAATTTCAGGATTCCAGCTCGATTTGTATCTCCAAATTAAATTTGTACCAAATATAGTATCATATATTACTTTTCGTACACATGAGTACACGCTTTCAAAACCATCTCCTTAAATGGACTCTACATCTCATCCCTAATTCGCATTCCAAATTTCAAGTTTTTAGCTCTATCAATTCACATGCTACGAAATTGTACAAAATTAAGTACATTTTAGTACTTTTCGGATATTTATAGTTCGAATTTCCAAAAACCCGTTGGTACATCTATCGTACACTCAGCGACCACCAATCCAAATTTCAGAGTTCTAGCTCTACCGGTTCGCCAAATACAAATGGTATCACATTTAGTACTTTTTAGTACTTTTCGTACCGTTCTAGTACGAATTTCCAAAAACGCTTATGTACATCTTCCTAACTTTACATCAGTGACCCACATTCCAAATTTCAGAATTCTAGCTCTTCCCGTTCGCCTAATACAAAGGGTACCATATTTGGTACATTTTAGTACTTTTCGTACCCTTCTAGTTCGAATTTCCAAAAACCCAGCCTTATCTCACGCCTACACACCAATACCAACCCACACTCAAAATTTCAAGCTTCTAGCTTTAGCCGTTTCGTCTGGGCGATGATCTGTCTATCAGTCACTCACTCACTCACTTAACACTAAGCTCTTTTATATATATAGATTATACCGTACACAGTAGTTAGTACTTGTATTCGATTCGTATTCTATTTTTTTATAATATACAAAATAATATACAAGAAATATAATATCCTACATATTGAATTTCGGAATTATGCTTTTTCCCTCACTGTGCAATATTTTGTATTTTTGGTGCCATTTAGTACGAATTTTCAATAAACCAAACCTCTTATATGTACTAATAGTTGGACATTTTTGTGGTACAATATTTAGTACAATTTTGTGCATAGCGCTCTATTTGTAATAGTTAAGCTACATACTAAATTTCAGATCTCAATCTATAACTTTTCCATTATAAGTTAATATTTTGTACCATTTTAGTACAAATTTCAAAAATATATTAATATATAGCATATATTTTCAGATTTCTATTCCTATCGGTTCCATTGTATTTAATTATTTAGTACTTTCTATCGCAACTTTAGTGCTGTTTGTAATGGTTAAAGCTATATTTGAAATTTCAAAACTTTTTAATATATTCTAGTACTAATTTAAAAAAATATATGTTTGCCCATCATTCTACTTATAATAGCTTAAGTTACATACCAAATTTCAGATATCTATCCCTACCTGTTCCATCATAGTATAATATTTAGTACTGGTTAGTACATTTAGTACTAATTTCCAAAATTTGTTCGTACATTCTGATTTGTTTATCAATGACAAAGCTGCATACCAAATTTCAGAGTTGTAGTTCCAACCATTCCGGCTTAATACAGTTTTTAGTAATATTTAGTACCAAATGAGTACAAACATTTGCAAAAAATATTTGTGCACATGATTTTATTTGTAATGGCTTTAGCTACATACCAAATTTTAGATATCTATCCCTACCTGTTCCATCGTAGTATAATATTTAGTACATTTTAGTAACTTTAGTACTAATTTCCATAACTTGTTCACAAATTCTTATTTGCTTATCATTACCAAAGCTGCATACCAAATTTCAGAGTTCTACTTCCAACCGTCCCGGAGTAATATAGTTTTAGTACTTTTTAATGCCTTTTAGTACTAATTTCCAAAAATATTTTTGCACATCATTCTATTTGTAATAGCTTAAGCTACATACCATGTTTCAGTTATCTGTCACCAACGGTTCAATGAAATATAATATTTAGTACTTTTTGTTACCTTCTAATACTAAATTTCAAAATTTTTTCACACATACCACTTGGATTATCGTAGGCAAAGTTACATACCAAATTTTAGAGTTCTACATCTAATCGTTCCAGCGTAATACAGTTTTTAGTACTCTTTAGTACCTTTTAGTACGAATTTCCAAAAACCTGCCTTATCACACGCCTACGCGCCAAATCCCGACCTACATGCTAAATTTCAAGTATCTAGCTTTAGCCGTTTAGCCTGGGCGTTGATGATCAGTCAGTCACTTATAACACAACTCTTATATATATATATATATATATATACTAGCAAAGTGCCCGCTACTTCGTATGCGGAAAGGTAATACAAAACATATTTCATATGGAATCGTGAATACTGCAAATTTATTGTAATATAGTTTGCGATTTAGTACTCTTCATACACATAAGCACTATTTTCTGTAATATTTCTTACTTCCATTAAAGAGATTAAAACCAGTAAGGAAATAAGTAAAGTACCCCATGCAAAATTTCGTGCAAGTCGAAAGATATATAGGGACATTGGTACACCATTTACATTAAATCGGACGAAGTTATATATGGGAGCTATATCTAAATCGGAACCGATTTTCATGATGTTTAACACACATCGTTCTAGACTTAATTCAGCTCGCTGTGCCTAATTTCGTGTAAATCGAAGGATATATAGGAAGTTTGGTGCACTATTTACCTAAAATCGGACTAAAATTCCCAATTTATTCCCAATTTCAAGACTCCAGATCTGTGAACCGAAATCCAACTTGCACAAAATTTAGTACCATTAAGTACTTTTCGTACACAAACGTACGATTTTTTAAAGGTATTTCAATCCTGTATTCCAACAGTATTCCTAATTCCGATTTTCAGGATTCCATCTATATACACTCAACTAAAATCAAATAGTACCAAATTTAGTACCACTTAGTACTTTTTAATAAACATAAGTACGAAAATCTTAAACTATTTCCATTAACACTACTTCCCAACCTGTATTCCATATAAAATTTCAAGATTTTAGCTATATATGTTCAACTATATATGTTAGAACTAAATTTAGAACTTTTAGTACACTTATAGGCCGAATTTCCAAAAACCCTTTTGTATAGCTTTCTAACATTCCATCAGTGACCCACATTCCAAATTTCAGAATTCTAGCTCTTCCCGTTCGCCTTCTAGTTCGAATTTCCAAAAAACCCAGCCTTATCTCACGCCTACACACCAACAACAACCCACACACATTTCAAGCTTCTAGCTTCAGCCGTTTCGTCTGGGCGATGATCTCTGTTATATATATAAGCTCCTCTATATACATGGAGATAATTACGCATTTTTAAAACTACCTCCATGTCTCATCCTACACTCCAACCTTAATTTTAACTCCAAAATTTAGAATTCCCGCTCAAACAAAACGAATTGTACTATTAAGTGTCAATAAGTACGAAATTCCAATACTGCCTTAATTCTGTAATTTTCATTTACCATCTCTATCCGTTAACTCTAATCAAAATTGTACCAAATGTTGTACCATGTAGTACACATGCTGACGAATTTTCAAAACTACCGACATAACTCAATTCTGCACTCCAACTGTAATATTAATTAAACATTTCAGAATATCAGCCTTTATCATATAGTACTTTTTGTTTCTATTATTAAAAATTTCCAAACCTATGTCAATCCTACACTCCAACAGTAATTTTAATTCCAAAATTCTGGAGTCCAGCTCTATCTGTTCTCAAATAATCAAGTTGTATCAAATATAGTACAATTTAGTACACATAAGTACTATACTTCCATATCTCAATTCTATATTCCAACAGCAACCATTATTCCAAATTTTAGTTTTTCAGCTCTCTCCGTTCACCCAAATCCCAATTGTACCAAATCCAGTGCCGTTTAGTACTTTTCGTACACACAAATACGAATTTCCAAAGATGTCTCTATAGCTCAATCTTCAACAGTAATCAGAATTCCAAATTTAAAGGTTTAAGCTCATTCGTTTAAGCAAAATCCAAATTGTACTAAATTTGGTACCATATAGTACTTTTCGTACCAATAAGTAACTACATCAATCCTACGTTCAACATTCATTTTTTAACAATTTGAAGACTCCAGCTCTATCTGTTCACCTAAATCCAACTTGCACCAAATTTAGTACTATTTAGTACTTTTCGTACACATAAGTACGATTTTTTAAAGCTGCTTCAATCTTGTGCTCCAATAGTAGTCCTGATTCCGATTTTCCGGATTCCATCTCTATATGTTTAAGTTCTTACCCCCGTTTTTTCAATTTGCAATTTTATAGTCACATGTTCAACCTGAATAGGTAACATCATGAGACTCTTTGTTATAATAAATGCTTTCGGTGGAAATTTTGGTATAACCTTCACATTAGGTATTTTGCCTTGGCTGTTTTTAAATATTACTGATTTTCGTTAATTGTTCTCTTTCCAGTTGAGCTTAATGATCGATTTTTGTAAAGAAAATATCTTGTATATTAGTTTTCTCTGTGATACGCATTTTTGTGTGGAATGAATGTGAGGTGTTCTGTTTATAAGTTCAAAGATATTGACAAATGTCAATCAAATTGAAAAAATAATAATAAAATATTTGGAACATTTTTCAATAATTGACAAACGTAGACTTAGAGGACTGATACGCGGCCAATTTTCACCCAAAATATCTCAAAATAATATCTATGACGTTATAAACAACCTACTAAATGACCCTACCGATTAAGGGATTTTTTGTTATAAAAAGTTAAGACTAGCCAAACGTAAAGACGTTTTTACTTTTGTATAATTATACTCAATTTTCTTATGATTTTTTGCTTTTCGCTACACTGGACAAAAAATTCAAAACCTTATTTATATTTCAATAATTTTTTTATAGTTTCTTTATTAAATTTACTTTTAAACATTAAAACTTGTTTTATTTTCAGAATAATCAATTAATTTCATTCGTCATTTTCACACCCATTCGAGATAAACGCATATGCAGGTATTCTATTATTTTCTCTAAATTTCTTTCAATCCATTGAATTTTCGGGAAAATATTTTCACGAATCATCAGAACTTTACTGTCGACATTTTCAAAATATTTACGATGATTTTCAATAAAATTGATGTGAGTGTTAATGTCCTGCATGAAAATAATTCTCGAAGCCATTTGATCGAATAAAAAGTTAACATCGATTTTTGATGACACCAATTCTTCGATGTGATTCATACAAAACTCACGAGCTAATTTCAATCCAATTTCATTGTTTATTATTGAAATAAAAGCATTTTGAATTTCATTATTATCCAAAGGGGATTTAGTTTTGAAAATGTTTTGCAAATAGTTTTTTAAAATATTTTCATTACCGGTACAATTTAATGCTTGTAGAATTTTTCTTCGTTCTTCTTTGTTGTTGTTGGAGTTGTATTCGAAACGCTGCCACAGGAAATGCCAATCGCTTTCATTGCCATTCGCTATATCTTTACAATAAATCCGATTTCTTTTGTAAATGCTTATGGTGTTGTTAACATCCGGATCTGCCACGGATCTCCATTGTTGAAATGATTGTATATCGGATTGTATGTCAATTCCGAGTTCTACGTCCTTCGCCCAAGTGGAAATTATGGATTTGAAAAGTAACGCATCAGACTTGACATCATCGGTATCGGTGTGACGAAATGAATTTTGTAGGTGTGGCTTCAGTATCTGGCGCATAAAGGCATTGTAATAAATTCGATATTTTGGCAAAGATTTCAGTGTTGCTGCACAAGCACCCAACTCCAATTCAGCATATGCCGATTTCCATGGTGGATATTCATACTCATGCCTTAAATATTCCAAAATACCAAATGCAATGTCATACTCCTGATGGCCAGCGCAGGCCAATGCAAAGGCATCGCCAACTAATTGGGCTCGATTTAGAACATGAACTTTTGAGTACTGATCACTAAGCAGGTTTGTGGTTATAAGTTGCCAATTTCGAGGATCATACATTACTCTATAAAAAGCAGTTACTTGGAGGTTAAAAATCAACCATTCATTTGATTCTGCATCACAATTTATACGAATTGGTTTACTCTTCATCCGATCATCACATTCAAGCCAGGATGTTATATTAACATTGGTGAAATCCGACTCCGATGCTGAGGTATAGCTTAATGGCATCCACCAACATTTGTCCTGTTCTTCAGCATTTGCGGTGAATTCAGTTAAGAATCGTTGTTGGGAAATTTCTATTGAGCCATTCTCATAGTTACGCCAAATTTTCACAACTGGATAACCCGTTTGTAGGGTCCATGATTTCAAAATTGTTGTCATATTAAGATCGATATCTTTGGACTCGTGATTAAATTCTCTAAACAAATCATTTTGTTCAACATTTTGATATTGATTTATTTTCAAATATTGCTGAATTGCTCGAAAAAATCGCTCATTACCCAAGACAAGGTGAACCATTCTCAAAATCCAAAAACCCTTCAAATAACTTAATCTATCGAAATTTTCGTGGATCCAACTATTATTTGTAACCAATTGGGATATTGGATGTGTTTGTAATTTCGCATCAAAATTGAAAATTTCGAAAAATTTCAATGTTAGAGTTGTTTCGGAATTGATATCCGAATTGAGCTCCCTTATTGCTAAATAACTAAAATAGCTGGCAAAACCCTCATGCAGCCATGTATCTGTCCACCATGAGGTGGTAACGAGATTTGCCAAACCACTGGTGGGCCAATTCATGGGCAATTAATGCAAATGAATATTTCCTGAGAAAAAGGTCTTCCTCCGTATACGATTCAATGCAAAGGTAGTTTTCGTTATAAACAACAAGGCCCCAATTCTCCATACCCTCATTCGGGTAGTTGGGTATAGCAATTTGATCTATTTTCTTTAAAGGATTTGGTAATTGTAATATTTCTTCAAAGTACTTGAGGATTTTCCGACTCAATTCGGCATCATCATCACAATGCACAGATTTATCTTTGGGGCTCCATACACGAAATTCGGTTTCACCAATATTCTCTTCAGATTTTGTAGCAAAAAAATCATTAATACTATATGCCACCAGATATGTGGGCATAATAATCGATTCTTGAAATTTACTCCAAACATAGTGGTCCTCCAAACCCTGTAGAGGAATCTGTTCGTCCAAAGGCATATTACTTAGGGCGTTGAGGGATTTATTATGGCCCAACCATATTCTAAATTTGGCCTTGTAATTAGGTTCATCCCAACAGGGAAATGCCAAACGGGCATAAGTTGGTTGAAAGTCCGTGGCCGTAAGCCATTTAGTTTCATTTGTATCCGTATCTTCATAAGATGTGAAGAAATAGCCCTGAATTTCTTCACTAAGATTGCCCGAAAACTTTAACTGTAATTTATATTTGCTGCCGCTCTGTAATTTCTCACACAATACCATAATGAAATAATCATGTTCCGGAACTCGTTCGATATCCTCCAAACACAAATGAGATGCCCCATCCTGGCTCTTTAAATCGATTTGAGATTCATCAATAGTTAAATTTTTCGCATGAAAGGTAATATTCTTAGTATCTTCCAATATGTCGAGTTCGATCGTCACCTCACCATTGAAGGTGAAGTTTTCCGGATCATCCAAGTGTGTTATGATTTTGAGGTGATAATTATCCGGTTTAATGGCAGTCGGCAAACGATAATGTGTGTAAGTGCCAGCAACCAAGAGAGCATCAAACAACAGGCAAACGAAAAATAGTCTCAAAAAGAGAATCATTATTTTATGGATTTAAATTATAATGCTGTTTGCATTTGTTTTTAATATTCAGATTAATTTTGCGATCACACAACTTTGAGGTGTTACTTTCTCTTTACCGTAGAACTACTAACTAATTTTTACTTATGAATCGAATTGCAAATTAACCTATGGGATTATTAGGTCTGGCTCATTGATGAGAATATAATCTGTTTTGGAATTATCAACTATAAAATCTGAAAAAAAACATGTGTAACTAAAAATAAAATTCAATTCAGCTATTTTATAACATAAACTAGCATAAGTGCATGTTAATCAATGAATTACATTTTATTGTTTTTTATATGCGAACATGAACATCTGAACTTAAAACTTATGCAATAAAAAAATAAACAATATTTATGAGAATTCAATATAAACCAGTGAGCAGAGCAGTATAGTCGGACGGGGCCGACCATATGATGCCTTACACAACTTCCACGAAAATATAACTTTCTGTGGTTCTATATTCTGAGCTTGGGCAATATTTCTCGATATTTGAACCCTCTTGGCCGATTAGAGGATAAAAAATATTACTAATTCAGTACAGCACTTCTAATTACTTGTCGAGATTCCCTTCACTTTGGGTTGTGTTTTGATGTTTGGCTTTCAATTGTGGCCTATAGATCGGGTCAGGGTCCATTTGACCCACTAAATTTTGACCGATCTTTATCAAAACGGGCATGCTTATTCTTTGGCCCGATTACCTTCTCCAAGTATTTTTAGGCCATAATTGGGGCCTCTTAAGCGTAACTTTTTAACAATATTCGACAGTGTTTAGGTGCACTTAGCTTTGGATTATCGGTCACTTGTCGGAGTAACCACTTCCATATTCAATATTTTTTGTTGGTTTTCGGCTTGTTGCAAATTCGATTCTCGGTTTAGTGCCTCAATACAGTATGTTGGACAGCAGTTTGAATAATATTGAGTATTTCAATTGACATTTTACTAGTTCAGGATGGTGAAGAACTAATTTGCTCTCGGCAATCAAATTCTCACGATGGCTATCCAAGTAAGTAAATTCGCACGTTAAATGTAATTAATGCAATATTTAACTTGATATTTCAGGTGAAGGTACACCATAGGTATACTGACAGGTATACATACAGTTACCGACAATTGTACCAAGCGATAATGTACACCAAATACAAATTTTAACAATTTGTAATGGACATTTTTCCTAAAATCTCAAACCCCCAAAACTTGGGTCGATATTGACAAAGCATGGTAGGGTAGAACGTGTATATAAAATCCTCAAAATAGTGTAATTTAGAGGGCATAGCTTTATGAGGCCATCACAAACGTACACAGAATTTAATTTCGTTGGGTGGGGTGGTGCCAACTGGTTCAATATAAAAATTTTCAGAAAAAAAATTTTGTTTGCGTACGTTTCTGGAGGCTATACCTGAAGGGAAACCAATATTGATTACTTCGTGTAGGAATTACCGAGTTCGAAATTGTGCTATAATTTTGAACTAATATTTTGCATCACAATACCTTCATACACCCTAAATATTAAAAATGCCGAAAATCGGTAGGCATCATATATATATATCATGTACAGGGTGAGATAAAAAAACTGCAACAAAGTCAAACGCCATAATTTTTAAATTTTTTTAATTTTATTAAATGAAAGAAAAATATTGTCGGAAATAGCATCAAATTTTAGAATATGTTTAGATTTGTTCGAATTGGTCACCTTTGGCACAAATTGTGGCCTTCAAACGACCAATGCAACTGTTACACGCTGCCCGAATGTTGCTCTGCGGTATTTTGGGCCAATCCCGGCAAAGCGTTTGCTTTAATACACTCTCCAGAATATTTTCGCGATAACATTCAGTATTTATTTACATTGATGCCACGGTCGATTAATACGAGCGGAGAGCGACGATTGAACCATGTACGAACCGGTGCACATTTTCAGCTGACCTCTTTGTCAAGTAAACACGATCGATTTGTTTGTTTTCAAACTGCGGGACAACGAATGTTTTCTCACCGGAAAAAACTAAATTCGGCAGTTTACCACTTTCGGCCAAGCGAAGCAAATCTTTGGCTCTTTTGAGTCTATTGTCATTGTGTTGCTGTGTAAGTTTTTCCACTTTTTGGAATTTCAATGGCTTTGGATTTTCAATGGCTTATTTTTCAATATTTGCCGAATGGCTCACGAGCCATTTTTCGGCTACTGCGACGCGGGCTTCGATCAAATCGCTTCTTTACTTTTCGGACCATTTCTGCTGATGTTGCTGTTTTATTCCGTCCACTTCCTTGACAACGCTACCAGTATCACGGTTACGAGCGTTGGCACGAGACACAAGACATTTATTCACATTTAAATGCTGGAGTGTTAACGATAGCCACTTGTGGTTTTCAACCAAATATAAAGAAATCACACTATCACGCTTGAATTCCGTTACGAATAGCATTTTATCTGGAAAATTCTCACCAAAATGCTTTTGTACGCTTGTAAACAATATAATGAGATGTCACTGGAAATAATTTTAACAGATGTCGGACGAATGGCTTAGAAATGACAGAAGTCTGAACTTGGTTGCAGTTTTTTCATCTCACACTGTATAGGTAATATGGGGGCTAGGCCTAAATACGGGCCAATGTAGTTCATTCTCGAACCTGACGTTCTAGTTCGTTATCTCGCTATCTTCCGTAGGTAGAATGATTGCAACAGATAGCTAAACCGACTATTAATTGAATATCCCCCATACATGGGGGCAAATATAAATATTTTTTTTTGATTTCGATGAGTTACAATTGGAATACCCTCCATAAAAATTGTAATTTATAAGTTGCTGAGGATATAAAAAGATACATCATGAAAAATATTTTATTTTACGAAATGGATATTTTCGATATGGAGTATTTTCGAAGGTTTGGTTCACGTTTTTATTAAGTTCTGGCCGAATTTGATTATGTTTTGACTTACTGTATTCCTCACATTTCCTTAGAGAAAAACAAATATTATTTAATAGTTTGTAATTATATTTTGATTTTTTTCTTTTTCGTTAATTGATCCATTGTTAGTTGTACCCAAAATAATAACGTAACACTTATCAGCTGGCAGTCTTTATACTATATTTATATTGAACAATAGTTATGAGTATTTAATAAAAATGTATAAATTTAATAACATAACACTATTTAGGAGTGTTTTTGTGGAAAAGTTAAGTACAGACATGTGTTCTTTTTATCATTACAATCTATCACTCTGTGAGATTGCCAAAAAGAGGAATTATGTGGAACTTATGTATTCTATACCACTTTGGTCCGGGTCAACTATTGTCTTCTATGGTATTATTTTCAAGAAGTCCCATTTGTGTTAGACGATTATATAAATAGAATTTAATATCTTCCAAATTACGTTCGATCCATTGTAATCTGAATGCGATGGTACTCCGAGTATATTCTACAATTTCTTCATAATCTTTAAAATAGTCCGGATTTATATTTATAAGTTCTTCGAAGGCATTCAAATCATTAGGACGAACTAGATGAAAACTTAACAACAACAGTGTCTCCACATCCACGTCTATAGACGTCCAATTATTAATTGTCTCTTTGAAATAGTCGCGTATAATCTCCACCCCGGTAACACTTCTGTATATATAAAAGAATACATCGATATTGGATTCGTTACTGTTAGCTTGATAGAGTTGAACAAAATTTCTTAGAACAGTTTCGTTTCGAGAACAACCCAAACCCAAAAGAATTTCATGGTCTCGTGACTCTAGATAATGTTGCCATAGGAAATCCCAATTATCCGGTGGACCAAATCGCACAGCGTTACAGTAAACAATGGTTTTTAGTTCGCTGGGTATTTGCTTCAAGTTGGAGGGTGTGTTGAGTGAAGTTTTCCATTGTTCAAAGTATTCCTGTGCCGCGTGAACACAATCTGGGAGTTCGAGGAAACAGGCAACCATAATAATTTGACTATGAATATCGGACGTTTCGCGGGTGCCATTTAAGCCACCAAGACGGTGATAGTAGGGTTCTATGATATAACGCATAAATGTGTGTAAATATTTAGTCATCAATGGGAATGGTGCAAAAATATTGGAAAGATCTCTTAGACCGGCAATTGCCGATTCCCATGGCCAATTTTCATCCTCCCTGTGTAGATATTCAAAAATTTCAAAGTAGATGTCATAACTTTGATGACCTTCCCAGGCTAGTACTTTGATATCCTCCACAATTTGCATGCGGTTCATAACGTGAATGTCCTTAAAGTTTTCACTGTTCAGAGTGGCTGCCAACAGTCGCAAATTTGTGGGGTCATATGAAACCCGATAGACACCAACCATTTGGATATTAAATAAAATCCAATCATTAGGCGCCGCAATATTCTCCAATGTTAGATTTAAACTGTTACCCGAATTCGAATCACATTCTAGCCATACCTTGGCTATGGTAGAATTAAAATCTAATTCCGCAGCTGTTGTATAGCTTAGAGGTGTCCACCAACATTCTCCTTCCGGGCTGGTCTTATTTGAAGCCTGTGACAAAAATCGTTGTTGGGAAATTTCCATTGTACCCGCTTCATAATTTCGTTCGATTTCAACTAAAGGATAACCAGCCTGTAGGGTCCAAGAATCCATAATTGTTTTTATGCTGGTTGGAGGTTTGAGATCATTTGTGGTTTTAAGGAAAGCATCCGTAAATGCCTGCCACAAGTCATCTTGGGTAGCAGTGGAATATCTATGTTTATTCAAATAACCACATATGCCATCAAAGAACCAATCCGGACCCATAGACATGTGAGTCATCCGCAGCACAGCTGCTCCCTTTCTGTACGCTATAGCATCAAAACTTTTCATGATATCACTTGAGTTACATTTGTCGTTCGATATGGCATGACTGTCCGTCTTAGCATCGGCCACAAAGAATTCCTTGAAATTATCATAGGTATCAAATGCCTGCCAAGGTAGCTCGGGATATAGACTGGCCACTCCCAATGTGGATATGTATGTGGAAAAACCTTCACTGAGCCAAATATCGGTCCACCATTCCATGGTGACCAAGTTGCCAAACCATTGATGAGCCAATTCGTGAGCTATGACCGTGGCTATATTTTGTTTTTCTTCGAAGGTGGTGGTGTCACTTAAATTTTCCTTCGTTAGGAAAATATCTTCGTAGTAGGTAATGAGTCCCCAATTTTCCATAGCATTTTGTGAAAATTGAGGCACTGCAATTTGATCGACTTTTGTAAAGGGAAATGCGATGCCAAATAATTCCTCATAGTACTTGAGAATATCAGGAGCAATTTCGGCAGCATAACGGCAACGTTCATAGTATTCTGGCCGACACCAGGTACGGAATACCACTTCGGAATCATCTCGTTTTGTTTCTTTACACACAAAATCATTGATGCTATATGCCACTAAATATGTGGACATGCTGACAGACTCTTCAAATATGCTCCACACAAAGTCGTCAACGTCATCCAGGGGAATTTGTTGCTGTAGTGGCATATTACTTAAAGCCTTGAGGGACTTGTTATGACCCAACCATATGGTAAAAGTGGCCTTATAATTTGGTTCATCGAAACAGGGAAATGCCTTACGGGCATAAGTCGGTTCAAATTGTGTCACCGACAACAACTGGGTTTCATTCATTTCATTCACATAGGAACTGCGATAATAACCCGTAAGATCATCATTTAATATTCCCTCAAACGACAAAGTCAAATTGTAACGCTGTCCAGAGGATAATGGCTCACACAGTTGTATTATATAGTAGTCATGTTCCGGTATTGTCTCAATATTTTGCAGACAAAAATTAAAGTTATTTACATCAACATCGCCGGGTATGTTATGAAGCGCGATTTGCTCTTTATCCACTGTTAAATTACGAACGTGCAATGTTATATTCGAAGTTTCCTCGAGAACTTCAAATTCTATTGAAACTTTGCCACTGAATGTAAAATTGTTACTCTCCTCCAAATATGTTATAAGTTTAAGGTGATAATGATCCGGTTTTACGGCGCTGGGTAAGCGGTAATGTGAATAGCTCGATTCGCTCGTTGGCAATATAAACAGAAATATTAGTCCCCAGAAGACTTGATGAACGATGAATTTGTTTGACCTGCTAATTGTGAACAGTTTTTTAATTATTTTATTCAAATAATTCAGAGGAAAAGCAGGATGCTCACCTCATATTCGCGATATTTTATAAATTAAATCGGAAATTCAAATAATTGCACCTTCTTCTAAGTCTCTCCATTGTAAACTAAATATTTAGAATTAAGCATGGCCTTTCGTTAGACAATATTTGATAAGGTATTTATTATTTTGAAATTGTTTATATTAATTTTATTAAAGTTGATAAGTGCGAACACATTGCACAGTGGTATCACTTCTTATAGAAGGAGTAATAAACATATTTTTGTTTGAGCGAAGAAAGTAAGAACTGATAACAGAAATAATTCTATGGTAGAATCAAACCAAGCCTGTCTCCACTAGCTAAATTTGAGATGATTTGACCTAAGTTTGGCATAGTGCAAGGCTTTTTATTTAAAACTGTGTTCAGAAAAAATAGCGTTACTGTATCTGAGCACAACGATAATCGTAGTGTTCCATATTTTGTAAACCGAAGTCTGTACACAAAAAATCGTAGGACACGAAGAAATTTCCGTGTGTGTTGCACTACCAATGTAGTTTAGGTTACCGAATCTGTGGTAAAAAAACAATTTCCATTGTGCTCGGGAAAAGAAACGATACGAATATTAATAGTGTTTGTGTACCGGTGCATTATAGCATTATAGTAAAATGGCTGACTTATAGGTATTTTATATAAATGTTCTAAACAAAATTTTTATCACAAGTAAATGAGGGGAACCACTGTGCATTGCTATATTATATTGCGAGAAATTCTGGGATTTTGGTATGGGAATTACACTATTTTCTGAAGAAGTGTTCTTGTTAAACACAAATTAGTTTTGAGATTCACTGATAGTTTCTATCAATCTCTCTTTTTCGTTTAGATTATGGCTTCATATTTGTGACGAAAAAATTGATAATATTTTCATTCATTCATTGAATCTGAGGTCAATATTAGTGTGCTTATAATTTACTATATTACTGTTTATAAAATCAAATACACGATGCTACATAAATTGCCACTTGACAAAGAAAGCAAAACGACAAGAAATCGAAGACAAAAAATATACTGCCTTGTAATCTAATCATATATGAAATAAACATTTCGGACACTATAAAGTATATATATTCTTGATCAGCGTAGGCACTTCCGTCTGTCTGCTGTAATCGCTTTAGCGTCTAAACAAATTGAGATAAATCGCCAAAATTTTGCATAGATAGATGGGCTATATCGGTCCACGTTTAGGTATAGCTACCATATAAGGGTAAACCCCCAATTTGAGGATTCTTAAGCTTGTTTTTCAACCGAATTCACTGAAATTTAGTACATTGGGTTCTTATTAGATACCAAATATCTCCACAAAAACTTATAAATGTAGGTTCATTTATTCGGGTAGCCCCCGTGTAATGGTACCCCCAATTTTTAGTTTTTGTGGGGTTTTGACCATATTTTTCGCTCGAATCGGCTGTAATTTAGTACTTTGAGATCTTATTGTGTAGTAAATCTCTCCACTATAAATATATGTCCCTTATCCGGTTAGCCCCAACATAAAGGTAACCACCAGCCCTAGTCCCTGTTTGGGAGGTACAAGAAGGAGTGGACCGATATTCCCCATCGCGTCTCATTTAATGATAACTACAAATGTTCGGTAATTCTTACACAATTTTCATATTGAAATGATGTGTACGTTGTTGATGGCTTCATATAAATTTACCCTCTAAATTGCAGTATTTTGAGGATTTTATACACATGTTCCGCCGTACCATGCGTTGATAATATCGATCCACATTTTGGAGTTTTGCGATTTTTAGTACCTGTCAGTATACCTATGGTGAAGAGTATCCATAGTTCCATAGTTAATTGAGACAGCTTGTGAAAAATTTAAATTGAACTATAGACCCATCTTCGGATTTAATGTCAGTTTGGATGGAATATTGCGATGTAGAAAGCAATAAATCCAATTGACATCACCATTCGCTTATATGAAATATAATTTTTTCAAAATTATAACCCTATGTCGAGGGAGATACCAGACAGATCCCATCTTCAAAATTGATCTAGATTTGGCGAAAGTATTTCGATGTGCAATATTTGGATCAAATCGGACATTTAAACATTTAGAAAGGAGGTACCAGAAGAGATGGACGATTTACTCCATTTTATAGGTTTGGTAAACTGACATGCCCAGCTTGGATGGAATTTGATATTGATGGGTTCCACTATTGTAGAAATACGACCTTAGTGGTGTATATTAATAAAAACCTTTTAAGCATAAAAAATAAAACAACTTCGTTTGTTAAATTTTCAATTGTTTTTATTTTATTTGTTGTTATTACTGTTGTTCATATTCAATCGCCTTGTAGATTTGCATTCCAAAAAGATTCAATTTATGCTGTTTTTCATTTGTTAAATTGTTGGTTGTTACATTATTGTTGGTGTTTATTTGTTTGGAAATTGTTCCTTAGAAATTTTGGAATATAATATTATTTTTGATTTTATAACAAACATTCACACACACAAATACTTAAATACACATTAATGTTGGATAATTTAATTTTTTTATTTGAGAATTGATTATAATTTCTATTTACGGGGGGAGGGGTGGAGCAAAAGTCCACTCTCATTGTCTTGATTTAAGTAAAGAAATTTTTTAGCGACTAAATAACATCTGTTTCAAAGTTTTCATTAAAATATTTTGTGTTCGATAATAACTTTTTTTTAAAAAAACAAGTTGGGGTGTATTAATTAATAAAAGGTAAGTAATTAATAAAAAGTAATTTGAATAAAAAACTAGGCAGAATTTAAAAATAAATTATGTTATACATAATATGGTTTAAACAATTATTATTCGATAAGAAAATTGCTTAAATAATTTTGTTTAATAAATTACAAGAAAGAAGTCAGTATATATTAACTCTAGTTGTGGTGTTTTTTTTTAAATTCTTAATTTCTTATTATTTGTTCCTTGTTGTTGTTTGTTTTGGGTTTGTATTTGGTTATTTGTTAAATAGACACTCAAATATTAAAAATTTGCAAAATCACTAGACTTACTAACTAACATATCTATATTTTGTGTTTTATTTTTGTTTGTTTGTCAAAAGAAAATATAAATATATAATAAAAATAAAAACGAATGGTTAGTGGGTTGATTTCGATAGTGGAATTCTGGAATTAATAATGAAAAATGTCATCATTTTAAATAGTTTTAGATTTCGGTGTTAGTACGATGAAATGAAACGAAATAAAGGTTTTTAGTTGGTGTATCTTGCGTCTTTACTCCCGTTCTATAGGACTGCTTAGGACTATGCGTTATGACACATAATAGTTAAATCTAAACCCCTTACAATAACAATTTCCCTCATCTCAGACTGGTACAAATTATTCGTGTACCCGGTCACGCGGGGGTTATAATGCTTAAATCCGCATACTCGCTAGAAGTGTTAACATTTTTCAAACTACACAGGTAATAATGCAAATCCTTTTGGGCAGCAAAACCTTTTTGGCAGAATATGCGGGGAAGATAGTCTAGCTGGAATTGAACGGGTTTGTCTAGGAAGAAACATCTCATTGTCCGAAATTGCAGGAGAATGTTGGAGTAGGACTTTGTTGCCATTTTTGACTTCGGAGTCCGCATTCGCTACCGACAATTTGTTGACGTCCGATGGAATGGCGTCTTGGATGACTTCACGGTAGCGCCTGAAGTCCTGACGGGTGTGTCGCGGAGGTGGACCTGTCATCACTGTATGATGGTTGGGATGACACGGTAAATAGCATGCCAACAGGACTGCCTAGTCTAAAACACATTATGTTGCTTGACTGACAGCATCCTGGTCTCCTCATGGTGGTGATCAACACTCTGGACGTGTTGTTTGCAAGGGCGTCCATTGTGTGTCGTCAGGGAAATAAGTCCAGACTGGGGCAGCGTAATTAAGGATGGAACGACCTATGTCCTTTTATGTCGTTACCAACGTTTCTTTCTCCTTACCCCAGGAGGAGCTAGAACTCAGAACTTTATGGACAGTGGGGATGCGCCTAACTTCAGTGACACAGTAAACTTTGCAGTGGATAATTTTAGATTGCGTTCCCGGAAATGTTCGCACTTATGTCGTCAACGAAATAACCGTACAGTCATCGGCGTACGATACCACTGAAACATCTGATGGAGGAATTTGGAGTTTCGTAAAATATATATTAAACAAAGCGGCACTCCTATTTTGATCTAGAGATATTTGGATTTTTGGCAACGGAACTCAAGGAAGGCTTTCAGCCCATTAACATAGTTGGCTAGCCAACACTTGATATCACTCGGAAGGTTGGAATTTGTGATTTCGGATATCAGCTCGGAATGATTGACCGTATCAAACGCCTTGGTGGATCCTTTCGTGATTGAGGCCATTCGCAATCTTGGAACTAATTTCTTGAAAAGCCGTTGCAGTACCCTGTTCTCTGAAACCATTTTGGAGGTAGCAAGAACGAAATGCTGTTCCAGGGACGAAGCAATAGAGACTCTAAACCTTGGCTACTGGTGAAAGAAGAGAAATAGTTTTTTGAATTGGAGTAATCCGGGCAACTTTCCAAATAACAGGAATTACCAACTGTGACATCGATAACTCAAGAATTTTGGACAGATAACCCAGCCCTATTGCACCAATCTTCTTTAACATGAACATGGACCTAGGGCTTTGGTTGACTTGGATTTGGAGGTAATTGCCTCTACCCCGATAGATGTGAATGATAGGGCCTGCAATTCTCTTGTAAGATTCTTGCATCTCTGGATAGCTGCTCGTTCGATCCTGTTCTTCGAAAATGGATGCTCAATGAATTGGCGGCAGAACTGCAATGCACATTTGTTGACAACAGAATGTTGGATGTTATCGAAGGAAATATCAGGGAGATTTTTATTTCTTTTCGAAGCAGGTAGATTCTTAATTGTAGAGCATAGCAGCTTGGGACTTATATTGAAGGGTTCTAGGTGTTCTAACCATTCAGACGCCTATCAAGGACTAAAGCCATTTCAGCGCTTAGCTACGGGATTCTGTCGTCAGTGAGCCTTTCGG